GGGCACGACTGGCATCTGGGTATGTGACCATTAATTGTTCCAAGTGTGGATGGTTTCTACATGTTGAAAATTTTAATATGAGCAAAGAAATTCGAGGGCTTTTTTTTTCTCTCTCTCTCTCTTTTTATCCTTGTTTTAGTGTAAGGGACAAGTATTTTGCAATCGATAACACTACTGTCTTGGTGTTAATAATGTGAGAATGGGAGGAACAAGCAATTTTTTTGTGGGCTCTCGAAACTCATCATTAGTATAAGTGTATAACAATGTGATTGAGTTCTCTATTACACTTATGCACTTGTGGGATTTTTTTTTATCATTAGATGGAGCCTAAACCCACAGACTCAGCAGAGAGAAAAAAGAAAAATTCAAAATGGTAATTTCCAAATCACTTGTGTGCTTAACACATATGTACTTCCTCCTATATCTTCAAAACTTCAAATTAAAGTCATTTGATATTTGGGGTGGTGCTATAAAAATAATTTTTTTATCTTATATTTTTATAAAATTTTTATATATTATTAAATAAATTGATATATTTAATATTATATATCACATATAAATTAAAAACATTAATTATTTTAATAACACATTATATTATATAAATAAAATAAAATAAAATAATTATTTCAATAGTATTTCTCTTTTTTTTTTTGGTATTAACTTCCGAGTGTCCGGTAACTATTTTGGGTCCCGACTAATTTAGAATCGAGCCACGTTGGACCCCATTAGGGGAGAAGCTCTCCCAGCGCCTGTTTCTCCATTCACAAGACTTGAACTCGATACCTTACTTAAGGGGAACCGAACTCCTTCCAGTCGGTTCAACCGATCGTTGATATAGTATTTCCCTTTATGCTCCTCTGGAAAGTGACTAATAAACTTTTAATTTTCGATAGGAATTGATTCTTGATAGTTTATCTTAAAATTAAATTGAGGAAATTCGGAATTTATTCTCTTGCCAAAAATTAAAAAAAGAAATCCGAATATGTTCGTTGAAAATTGCATCATTTTATAGTAAGCCATTATGGCACACTGCAGGCTCTAAATTTAAAAATCACAGCTGTTTTAGGGACCATTTTCCTCTCATGACAAATCATTGCGTGCAATTTGCCGTAGTGGCTGCAATTATGGGGTGGGGATGTACATGTAATCGATCTAGTGAGGCTAGCTGGTCCAACTGAGATGGACAGTACAGGATTCGATGTCCCCTCTTTATTGCCATTAGCTCAACGTGACTCCACCAACTTGCCAAGTTAATTGCATCGGATCTTCCTTGCGTACGCAGTAGCTTTGGGAGACTTACCCACTATTTTCAGGTGCGCGATTCGGGTTGGGTCCGAATTAGTCGAGACGAAACTTTGGATACCGGGTGAGAAATCAAAAAAAAAAATTAGATCGGATCTTTCGATTCAATAATTTATTTTTTAGTTTTAAGTTTTTGATTTAGTTGTTTAAAAATTTAATTTTTATTAATAATTTTAAAATATATTTTTCATCTCTCATATTTCCTGATGTCTAAAAAACTTGCGAAGAAAAAAGCTCTCGTTCCGCTCTCATCCTACATGCTAGTAGACGAATAAAAGAATGCTGTTTTATAATTTATTTTTTACGAAATGTTTATTTTATAATTATAGTTTAATAAAAATTATTTTAATATAAAAAATATGTTTTTTTTTGTCATTAATTATAAAATGCATAGATAGTACAAAATCACTTTTATGGATGAATAAATGCCTAGTGGGTTTCATGATTAATTGACACAAATAATGATCACTACCTTGCACTTATATTAGTACTATTTTCAGTAATCATTATATGCTTCTTTTATAGGTAGTACACTTGTGGTGTGCCCAACGGTGTATAGAAGTAGTAATTGGTTTGTTAAATGGGTCTGTGACTAATAAATTGTTTGATATGTATTAGATGCCTTATGAATCATAACTTATAGCGTTGAAAATAATTTATGAATATTTCATTTCTTTCAGGAAACGTTAATATAAATAGCTAGTTACTTGAGGGTTGTAGCATAATGCCCCAATCATCATGATTGATTTTTTGGTTTGATTTTTAAGGATGGGGGGTAGCATGTAGAATCCAACAAACTTCCAACTTTTGTCACCAAGTTACCTAGAAAAAAAAAAATGAATGAAAGACAGCTTTCAAACTGTAGATTGATTTGTAGTTCTACCTAAACAAAGCTTGGTCTTGGAGGCATATGCGTATTTGCTACTTGTGCAAGTTTGATTGATATATTGTCCTAACCAACTTCTTTTCAATGTGTTAATGACTTAAATAGTGTAATGATAATCTTTTTTTATTAAAAGTGAAAGATTCTAAATTTAAATTAGATAAGGGATGAGAAAATATTACTTCATATTATATAATATAGATTAAAAAAAAAAAACCTTCCCTCCAATGTCTATGTTTTTAGCCAAAAAAAAAAAGAAGCAAAAAAGCAAAAAAACTTCCCTTCAATGGAGGAAATTAATGGAAAGCCCTTGTTTGAAAACCTAACTAACAACAATCAATGTCAACTTATTTGACTTTGGTAGGGAGTATATAAATTCGTTTATGAGATTCTTAGCCTAACGATTGAGCATATCTCATAGGTGTGGAATTTGATTAGGTTTTGAATTTCAAAATAAGTTTAAAATGGTAATAACTTTAACCGTAAATTTAAGTGATACTTTTATATGATTAAAAAATTCCTTTAATTTTATCGATAAAATCATTTAATTTTATTGTTAAAAAATTTAAAGTGACAACCATTTTGAGAGGGAATAAAAATATTCTATGAAAAATGATTTTAAAATAATATTTTTGTATTATTTACAACCTAACGTATCATTTAAATAATTAATTTTTTTATTCATGTGAAACAGTTGAAGTTAATTAATAGTAGATTGAGGACATGGAGCCAATCGATAGTAAAAGGTTTATTCATATAAAACTCACGATATTGAATACATCAACTCATTTAATGATATATAAAATTATAAAAAAAAATATTATACAAAAAATTTATCTCTGTAACACCATTCATGTTTCATTTCTAAATATTCAATTCAAGATTAGAAATTTAGACTCATTATAAAAAATAGAAATTAAGAAGGAAAAAATAATTGGGCAATATCAGACTGGCCCTTTTTTTTTTTTTTTTTAATTAAGCCCACCTGTCTTGGTTGTATTTGTATACTGCTTGTTGGGATAAATCTAGCTCAGCCCATAAAAAAACGATTTGCCCATCAAACCCATTTGAATAAAATTATTTTCAGGCCCACATTAGTACAAAAATAAATTAATTACGCGATGCTTCTCAATCATTATTTGCCCTTTTTATCACTCCTTCCCGCTCCTTCAGTACTGCACCGTCGCGCCGCCGATCGCGTCACGGCCGCAACGCCTCGCTCTCGTCTCCTTGATCCTCCGCCAGCAAAACCTCGATCTTACCCTCCAAATCTTCCTTTACGCCGGTAAATTCCACCCTGGCCTTTACCATAATCGAGAAGCCTTCCCTTGTTCGCTCCTTTGAGCCCTTGGAATGAATTCCCACCTCTCCCCATTTTTAATGGATAAATGCGTAATTCCAAATTATCGTTTCGCCGGCCGCCCCGAATTGGCGGCAAAAACTTTTTCACGCATTGGGGATTCCGGGGTGCGGCGCTCCGTGAGTTCCTTGAACATTCTGTTGAACGCCTTATTGCATTCCAATGTTTAGAAAAGTAAAACTGAGTTTAACGTTCTACCAAATGTGTGCTGGTAATGTTTTGATCAAAGTTCTTTTGCTAGAAAAATGGCATTAAAAATACAATTAAGGTGTAAGATGAAATGCCTGGAATGGGAATGATGCACAATTTGGTTACCTATGCCACGATTCTGGGTCGTTATGTCTTGAGGGGGTGATGTGGAGAGTGCCAAGAAGGTTTTTAGTGAGATTTAGGATAGAGGGTGGGTGCCGGATGCGACGACTAACACAGTTTCAATGAATGGCTAATGTAGGTTAGGGAGGTTAGTTGATGCAAGATGGGAATGCATTCAGATATTGTACGTCTGTCCATTAAGAGGTTTTTGCAAGATTGGTTGTGTAACAGAGAGAATTAGGATCAAGGCCACAAATTGGTGTTAGCTCCAAAGAAGCTGCCAGATGGTCATCACGAAGAAGCTGTGGAACACAGGAAACAAGTTATTTGTCTTCCCTTATTCGTTTCACCTGATTTGATCTACCAAATGACAGAATAAAATGGTAAGATCTCATGGCTTATTTTCAGATTGAAGACGAGATGTTAGCAGACACATGTCACACATCTGTAACAAAGTGGCCGAGTCACAGGGTAAGGTTTAGACATCACATATGACTAATAATGCTTGGTTTTAGGACGTACATTCACAAAAAGTATTATGAACTTTGCACATTCATGCTCAACTTGAGAAACAGGCAGCCATGGTCCCTGTTAGATGGAGGAGTATGCGAAGATAAATAGAGGAAAATGACTTCTGGTAAGTGTTTCTCTACGGGTTTTGGACTAAAATTCAAGACATCCTTACTAAGTTCACTTCAATATGTTTCGTTGCCCAAAAACTCTTCCCTCTCATGATTGGATCACGTTCTGAAGCTTGTACATTGGTTTGGTCTGGCTGGTTCAATTTGATTCGCTCTGCTCTGGGTAAACGTTTTTGGTTGTTGGACGTAAGATGTTGGCAAGTAGTTCCGAATTGATATTTTCTTGAGCTCAGAAGAATTTTCCAAGCTCGTTTCTGGAGTGTGAACTGTCTCCTTCAGTCGTTATTTTAGCTTTTACGTGCATTGTATCCCTTTCTCTTCAGTCGTTTTTTTAGCTTTTACGTGCATTGGCTGTATATCCCTTTCTCTTCAGTCCTTTCTATTCAATTTCCTACCAATTGCTTTAGACAATCTTCTGTGGAATTTGAAGAGTATTTGGGACACTCTTATTGACTATCGTTTTCTCTGACCAACGTTTAAGATCTAAATACATGGTGACAACCAATACGAAACGTGAAACACGAAGACTATTCTTTTCACATTACTTTAGTCCCTTTTCCAGGCAATGAATTAAGCCTCTTTCCTTTCATTTCAGAGAACTTGCAAAATGATAATTGCAAAAGCAAGTGGCTTGGCCATCGGATCAGTCCAACTTGAGACTGGCTAAGCTCAATCAAATTCCAGGTTAAGACCAGTCAATGACATGACTGACAAATCATGGGTTGGCATTTGCAAAATTGGAGCACCGGTTCTGTTAATTTTTTTTATTTTTATTTTCGTTTTTTATCATTAATATTTCTTACAAGTCAACACCTAACTTATTTAATTATTAAAATATAAATATATCATATTATATTTAATCGATTTTTTTATATTATATATAGTTTTATTTTGTCCAGCACTTGATTGGGTCACCTCTTGCGGGACGTGTATAGGACTAGAGAACTTGGGATCAAATCTCAAATCCTTCATTCTCCCTTCCTCAAAAAGATTTCACATTGTTCAAAAAATATATATAGCTTTATTTTTAAATTTTTTATATTCAATTTTATATCTAAAAAATAATTTTTTATAAATATATTAAAAAATATATTATATTAAATAATATTCTTTATATATATATATATATAAAATTCCATTCAAACTGGTCATCGTCAAGTAGAAGTTGAAAACGTAATGTAATCTACTCTACGTGAACTGCACTTCAGTTTTTAGAAAATTTAAAATCCATCCTTACCCAAGCTAGGGGAGGCATTTTAACTTCAGTTCAAAAAAAAAAAAAAAGAAAGAAGGCTGGAGGAGGGATTACCCCGACTCCCTGTGTTCTAGGAAAGTCTGCGCTTTCCTCCCTTATTAACCTCCCATTTACTAGCAATTGTTCATTGTCCAAATTTCAGACAGAACAGAAGACAATAAAAATAGAAGGGAACTGCAGGTGGTCTTTTGCTTGGTTAACAGTGAACCAGGTCAAAGGAAAACAATGTTAGGACTTGAAGACAGAAAGTCTTTTCCTTCTTCACAGGTTGGAAGAGATAAATAAGCTTCTCCACGTCTGGATAACAGCTACTTTAAGCCTCTAATTACTTACACCTTTCCTTTCTTCTTTATTGTTTTTGTCCGGCGGCTGGACTCTCCTCCCAGGAAATGCGATCTCTCAGTCATTCCCGGAAAATCTCCAACCGGCGACTTACATGAGGCAAACAGCATCAGGGTGTCGTGAGTTGTCATGGGCAGAAACTCATATTTCAGGTTATCCTTCTCTTACCTCTCGTAGGTAGCTAGAAGTATGAAATTTCTCGTTTTGGTGTGTAGTTAAACGTATTTCGTGGGCGGTTGACCATGTGGGTCGTCGCTTGGGTTTCAAGTTTGGTTATTGTGTACAGGTGCAGTTGTTTTTTCATTTTTGGATTGCTTTTGAGCTTCAATTTGAAGACAGAAAGCTGAGAGTTGAACCTTTTGAAAGTCTTGTTTTGACTGGACCAAAAAAGAATTCTGGGATTTTAAGATAATGTTGATTCTGGAGCTCAATTTGATTATAACGGTCACTTCTAACTGCAGCTGGCCTTAGATGAATAGTAGGTTCTTTATAGTGCTTCGTTTCATTTTCTAGTTTGTGTGGTAGTCTAAAAGTTCTAAGCAAATTTCTGTGTCTGAATTGAATGGTTCTAAACTTGATTTTGATTTAGGTGCTTTCTGCTATAAATTTGGAAGTGTTATTTTTGGATGGAATCCTCGGATTGCTGCCTTCAATTTTCTTGTTTCCTATTCTAAGTTGGGATTATGATCGCATTGGGCATGAGGGTTTTGCTTCCTAGCTCTCTCATTTAGTGGTGATGTGATGGCAATAGACTTGGTCACTAGTGCCTCTTTTGTTCCAGCTTCAGAGTTGCTCTCTCAGATTATAGAGGCCATACTTGAGATCACAACTACTGCAAACAATGTCCTTTTTAAAAAAGAGAGTTTCAAGCAACTTGCAGCTTATTTGGAAAGGATTGTCCCTGTCTTGAAAGAGCTGAAGAGAAAGGAAGGTGGCAATTCTGAGAGCTTAAACAATGCCATTGAGATTCTCAATCGAGAAGTCAAAGCCACTAAGGAACTGACTTTGGAATGCACCAAGAGAAACAAAGTATATCTCTTAATGAAGTGTCGTGGCATAGATAAGCGCCTTCAGGATGCCTCTAGAGATATAAGCCAGGCTCTAAGTCTTCTTCCATTGACCTCTTTGGAGCTTTCTTCAAATATAATTGAAGATATTGCGCAAGTGCAAGGCAATATGCAAACGGCTGAGTTCAGGGCAGCTGTAGCAGAAGAGCAAATATTGGAGAAAATTGAGTCAGGAATACAGGAGGAAAATATCAATCGTTCTTATGCAAATAATTTGATGGTTCTCATTGCGGAAGCTGTTGGAATACCTAATGAGAGGTCAGTTTTGAGGAAGGAAATTGAAGATTTTAAAAGTGAGATTGAAAATGCAAGGCTGAGGAAGGACTTGGCTGAAGCTATACAAATGGATCAGATAATTTCTTTGTTAGAAAGAGCTGATGCTGCTTCATCTCCTAAGGGAAGAGAGATCAAGTATCTCACCAAGCGGAGTTCTTTAGGCAGCCAACCGCTGGAACCTCTCCAATCATTTTATTGCCCAATCACTGGGGATGTGATGGTGGACCCTGTGGAGACTTCTTCAGGACAAACATTTGAGAGATGTGCAATATCAAAGTGGTTTGCAGAGGGAAACAACATCTGTCCTCTGACCGCAACCCCTCTAGATAGATCAGTTCTACGGCCTAATAAAACATTGAGGCAGTCAATAGAAGAATGGAAGGACAGAAATACCATGATAACAATTGCTTCCATGAAATCAAAACTCATGTTTGAAGAAGAAGAAGAAGAAGTGCTTCATTGTCTTAAGCAGCTAAAGGAACTTTGTGAACAAAGTGATGTGCACCAAGAATGGGTAATATTAGAGAACTACATACCAGTTCTTCTTCAACTTCTTGCTTCCAAAAATCACGACTTGAGGACTTGTGTGCTTGCCATCCTTCACAATTTTGCAAAAGATGGTGATGATGCTAAGGTACTTACTATAACTTAAACTGGATGATATAATTCTCAATGAGAATGGAATTATGTAGCTTTTTGTCATATTGGCAATAAACTTCAGCATTATGATTAGCAATGTTTAGGAATCAGATTCACCAATGGAAAATGCATGATGCACATGCCTGGATGTTACTTTTCTACTGCTTCATTGTCATGTATCATTTATATATATATATATATATATATATTTTGCATTCTGTCACAGACCATCCAGTTATGGGATATCTTTCCTGGGATCATATTCATCTCCATCATTTTGACAAAACTAATTTGTCCACTTTGATCCAGAGTCATGTCCCTTGCATTAACATTGATTCTTGTGTGAACTAGAAATGCAGATTATATAATCTCCTCCCCTCCCTAACTCCAAAAAAACAAATGATGCAGGAAAGAATCGCCAAAGTTGATAATGCAATCAGTTCTATTGTCCGTTCTCTGGGACGCCGCGTTGAAGAAAGGAGGCTAGCTGTGGTATTGCTATTGGAACTATCAAAGTATGAGTTGTTACGAAATTGCATTGGAAAAGTTCGGGGTTGCATCCTCCTCTTGGTGACAATGTCAAGTGACGATGACAATCAATCTGCCAGAGATGCAGAGGAGCTATTGGAAAACCTTTCATTCTCTGATCAGAATATCATACAAATGGCACGGGCAAATTATTTTAAACATCTGTTACAGCGTCTCTCCACAGGTTCAATGTTTTATCAGATTACCTTTTGTTCTTAACAGACTGTCACTTCCTAAGTTTGATTTGGGCTTTCTACAGGGTCAGAAGATGTAAAAATGACAATGGTAACAGCTTTGGCAGAAATGGTGTTGACTGACCACAATAAGGTGGTTCTTCTTGAAGGAGGGGTATTGGCTCCTCTTCTTCACTTGGTCTCACATGGTGATATTCAGATGAAAATGGTCACTGTTAGTGCTCTTCAAAACCTCTCAAGTTTACCAAGGAATGGCTTGCAGATGATTAGAGAAGGTGCAGTAGGTCCCCTACTTGACGTTCTCTTCCATCACAGTTCATCCACCCCACGCTTGAGAGAACAGGTAGCAGCCACAATCATGCACCTTGCATTATCCACTGTATTGCAAGAATGCGATAGGACACCAGTCAGATTATTGGAATCAGAAGAAGATATTTTCAAGCTGTTCTCTTTGATTAATGTGACTGGACCAGATGTCCAACAAAACATTCTCCAGATCTTTCAAGCCTTGTGCCAATGCCCTTCTGCAACAGATATCAAGATCAAGCTAGCACAGGTATGTCTCTTACTGGACATTGACATGATAATTCATAGTCAAAGAAGCACCAATCCAACTAGCTTTTTGCAGAATATCATTGTATCAACAGTAACATATTTCTGACATTAACAGTGCTCAGCTATACAAATACTACTTCAGTTATGTAAGCATAATGACAAAAAGGTACGGCCAAATGTGGTGAAGTTGCTCTTTTTCTTGGTGAATGATGGTGATGAAGCCACAATCCTGGAGCATGTGGAGCAGAAATGCATTGAATCCTTATTGACGATCATCCAAACTTCTGATGATGAAGAAGAGGTCACTTCTGCTATGGGCATTATCTCTAACCTTCCAGAAAACCCCCTGATTACTAAGTGGCTACTGGATACTGGTGGGATTCCAACAATATTCAGTTTTCTCCAGAGAGGCAGGTGTAATGATCCTCACAAAGTGCAGTTAGTAGAAAATGCTGTTGGAGCTATACGGCATTTCATAGCTCCAACAAAATTGGAATGGCAGAAGAAAGCAGCTGAAGCTGATATTATCCCGGTACTGGTTCACTTGCTGGATTATGGGACTGCCTTGACCAAAAAGTTTGCTGCCATTTCTCTTTGTCGTTTTTCAAAGAGTTCACCAAAGCTGAGCCGATCAGTATCAAAGCATAAAGGGTTCTGGTGCTTATCAGCTCCGCCAGAAACTACTTGCCCAATCCATGGGGGAATCTGCTCTATGGAATCTTCATTTTGCCTTGTGGAGGCTGATGCAGTGAGACCACTTGTAAGGGTTCTTGAAGAATCAGATCCTGAAGTTTGTGAGGCTTCTTTAGATGCACTACTGACTTTAATTGAGGATGAAGGATTGCAAAGTGGTAGTAAGGTGCTTGAACAAGCAAATGCCATACCGCCAATGATAAAGTTCCTTGGTTCAACGTCCGTCAGGCTTCAGGAGAAAACTCTAAGTGCTTTAGAAAGGATTTTCCGGCTGCCAGAATTCAAACAGAAGTATGGACCCTCTGCTCAGACCACTTTGGTGGACTTGACACAGCTAGGCAACAGTAGCATGAAATCTCTTGCAGCCAAAATACTTGCTCACTTGAATGTTCTTCACAATCAGTCTACATTTTTCTGAGAATTCAATGGCTTTTATCCACCTCATCAGCATATGAATTCACTTCTCCTTGAGGAGTTGCTAATAGTGCTAACAAGCCATAGAACTCAATGCTTTAAACTGGTCTGGAAAACAGAATTTCTTAGCAGGATTTAGCAGGTCTTTCTCAAAACTGGTTTTCCTGGACAGTGTTCATCTTAAAACCAAACTGGCCCAGAGCAGATAAAAACTCCATCTTCTCCTTAGGGTGTATGCACTTTGTAGATGGTGATCTAAATAGAATTTCTGATTTCTGTGAAAAGAAAAATACTGCTGGAGGGAAGGGATTTTACAATTCTAAGTGGCTCATATTAAATACCCCAGCATTTGTTCTGTCTGAACAGTTTAGCTCAACCATACCGAGAGCATTATTATTATTATTGTTATTATTTGTTGGAATTGAATTCTTTTCTTTTCCATTTTTGCATCCCTTTTTCTAATTTCTTCCGTTTTCTTCTGGCAAACAGAAAAAGTGCATCTTCAGGTTCTAGACTGCTATAAAAGCTCAAGAAAATCATGTTTATTTTACCTTAAACTAATCCTCTGGTTATGAACCATTTGAAACAAACTCTTTCTCACAGCCTAAGAAGGGGCATAAATCACCATATCAAGAGTCTCATTTAGGAGTTCCTTCAAATACCCAACATCCCTTAATGTGCAGAATCTATTCGACCTTATTCCCCAACCGTCTTCCTCTTTAACAAGCTCATCTAAGCCTATGCCTCTCGAAACCAGCCCTATCAATGTCTCTCCCCCTACTTACGTGTGTGCCTCCAAAACTGCCAGCCAAACAAACACTCCTTCTCTTTCCTCTTTGCCGCGTGTGCCTTGCTTCCCTCTCCTCTCCATGGCCAAATCATCCACACCCGCTTTGTCCAGTTCGGTTTCGGGGATGATTGTTTTGCTTCGACTGCTTTGCTTGACATGTATGCAAAGCTGCGTTTTATTGGAATTGGCTCGCCAGTTGTTCGATGAAATGTCTCTGACAAACCTTCCCACTTGAAATGCTATGCTTTCGGGTTATTCTAGAAGTGGGGATATGAAGGGGGCTTTGGAATTCTTTGGGTCGATGCCGGAGAGGAATGTGGTTTCGTGGACTGCAATGATATCTGGGTATTCACAGAATGGCCAGTATTGGGAATCCATGGATATGTTTTTGAGAATGGAAGAGATAGGAATGAAGCCTAATGAAGTGACCATAGCCAGTGTGTTTCCAGCTTGTGCAAACGTTGGCGCACTTGAGGTTGGAGAGCGGATTGAAGGGTATGCAAGAGCAAATGGGTTATTTCAGAATTTGTACGTAAGCGATTGTGTGTTACAAATGTATGCAAGGTGTGGTAAAATTGAGGTAGCAAGGCAGGTATTTGATGAGATTGCCAAGAGAAGAAACTTGTGCTCATGGAATTCAATGATCTTGGGCCTTGCTGTTCATGGAAAGTGTAACGAAGCTCTTGAGCTTTACGATAATATGCTGGTGAGAAATCGTTCCTGTAGTCCCTTTAACTTCAACATCGACTTTTTCATTGCCTGAACCATTTTTCATCTTCGTTTTAGTTTGTTGCTGGTGACAACAGGAAGAAGGAACTACTCCAGATGATGTCACATTTGTGGGACTTCTCTTAGCCTGCACGCATGGAGGTATGGTGGGTAGAGAGGTCAGGAACTTTTCAAATCAATGGAGAAAAGGTATGGCATTGCTCCAAAATTGGAGCATTATGGCTCCATGGTTGATCTTCTAGGCCGTGCTGGAAGATTGCAAGAAGCGTATGATTTCATAAAATCTATGCCAATAAAACCGGATTCGGCAGTATGGGGAGCTCTTCTTGGAGCTTGCAGCTTCCACAACAATGTTGAGGCGACTGAAAAGGCAGCAGAATTCCTCTTTCAGCTTGAGCCATGGAATCCGGAGAACCATGTCATTCTTTCCAACATATATGCATCTGCAGGCCAATGGGACGGGTTTGCAAGGCTAAAAATGGCGATGAAGGGTGGTCAGGTTACCAAGGCTGCAAGATATAGTCTCACTGAAGAGGGAGGTGAAATGCACAAGTTTATTGTGGAGGATGAATCACATCCCATGTGGATGAAATATATACAGTTTTAGATCAAGTTTTAACCATGATGAAGCTAAAAGATGGAACAACTGACATTGAATCAAACTTGAAGAGTTGTATATAATGGATCAAAGTTGATCGTTTCTCTCTATAAAATCTCAACTTTTTTCTAAATTTTTTTTCTTTCTATTCAATTCTTCTGTGTGATATATCAATTAGAACCAACCAAGTATACTGCTACAATAAAAAAAAAAAATTTATTGAAAATAAAAAAAGGAAGTATAGAAGCAAAGAATTCAAGTTAATGTAATCCGGATGCTTCTTTTGATCAGTGGGTGTTGCATCTGGAGAGTGGAAATTCTTTGATCCAACCACAAACTGAGTTATGCTGTCTTCTCCTTGTTTTTCCTGTACCTTCCACTCCTTGCCACAAATTTAACAATCTCATCGATAAGAATAACAGGGACCGAGACCAAAATGACTAAAAACCATTCATTCAGGCTCAACGGAACAATACCAAAAACATCTGCCATGAATGGGACATAGAGTATTAGGCAGTGAAGTCCCAGTGAAACTGACATGGCAATCAGAAGCCAAGGATTCCTCCAAGGTGGCATTGTAACCAGGCTATTGTTTTCGGAAAGTGCATTTAGGGAATTGAACATCTCGATTGCTACCAATACAGAGAGTGACAAAGTCATTGCCTTCACCTTGCCTGTGGTGAAGTAGTCACAAGGATTTGAGAAGGTGATCTGGCGAGTCCCACTAACTGTGTATGGAGCTGCAGTGAAATTTGACCATGTCGAGCACTGCCTCCAGTTGCGAAGCTGAGACAACTCAACCAATGTGTGCCCATCACTAACAAGATTGATGCCCATGAAAGAACTTTGAGTGTACCACAAGATAAAGACGCCAACAGTTGCAATGCCCACATAGGAACCAATTACCTGCAATTGCATAAATGTAATTCCAGACATTAGAATATAAGTAAGAATATGTTGGAGGATGAATACAAATCTACATGGCTAGGAGATGTAATATGAAGCTTAGGATATGTGGGACTAGAGATGTAACATGACGAATGGAAGTCAACTTAGATAAAACCAAAATCACTATTATCAAGGATGGATTGTCAATAATGCCATTAGGAAAGCCATGGGAGGATTATGTGTGCTGCTTGACACTAACCAAGTAACGGAAGAGAACCCAGAAGTTAATTAGAGCATCATCACTTTTGCGGGGTGGTTTCCGCATAATATCAACATCAGCAGGATTAAATCCAAGAGCTGTTGCAGGGGGACCATCGGTGACCAGATTGACCCATAGAAGTTGCACAGGTATCATGCATTCAGGTATCCCCAGAGCAGCAGTTAAGAATATGGATATTACCTCTCCAACATTGGATGATATCATGTATCTGCAAAGTTAGGAAATGAGTAAGGCAGTTCTTAAGTGCTCAGAGGAAGTCCCAGAGCTAAGAAACTTACCTGATAAAAGCTTTCATGTTATTATAAATTGAGCGACCCTCAGCAACAGCTGATACAATAGTACTGAAATTGTCATCAGCCAAAACCATGTCTGAAGCTTCCTTTGCAACCTGGAATATCAAGAAATGGGCAAATTGAGTTTGATATAGAATTAGCTCTCATAAGCTCTAAGTGAAAGAATCAAGGTGCTGTTTTACCTCAGTTCCAGTTATGCCCATGGCAATTCCAATGTCAGCAAGTTTCAGTGCAGGAGCATCATTCACACCATCTCCAGTCATTGCAACAATTTCCCCCATCTCCTTTAACATTCTGACTATTTCTTGCTTATGCTTTGGCTCAGCACGAGAGAAAACCATCCCCCCAGGTCTTGACAAAGTTTCTAATTGTTGTGAAGTGGAAAGAGCCATGAACTCTTTTCCTGTAAAACTTCTCCCTCTAAGATTCTCTGTTGCTGAAAACAATTTAATTTCACGACAGATAGCCTCAGCTGTAGATTTATTATCTCCAGTTATCACCATAACCTTAATCCCTGCTCCTCTGCAGTCCTCAATTGCTCTGTGAACCTCATCACGTGGAGGATCCTGTTAGGAAAATTTAGCACATAAAATCTCCAGAAATCACAAACTTCAAAATATATTCACTAATAAACCAAAAACTGCAGCAAAATGCTCACCCTGATGCCAACAACTCCCACAAAGACTAAGTCACTTTCAATGGAAGAATAGCCAGCTGGATCAAGCAACTTCCTATGGGCAGGATGAGTCTCAGAACAGTAGTCTGAAAATTCTCCCAAGTCATCCTTATATGCCATTCCTAAGCATCGCAATCCCTTAGAACTCATCTCCGAGAGTTTGGAAAGCAATAGTTGCTGACAAGGTTCATCTATTGGAACAAGAGATCCATCTGCAAGTTGTACATATGCACTGCGCTCCAACAGATTCTCAACAGCCCCCTATAATTACATAATAAATCATCTAAAAAATGTTATGATTCTAGAATAAGCAGGATAGACATGGCTGTAACGTCAAGGTAACCCCCATTTAACAGAACCACATGCAATGAAACCAACACTGTCAAAATATTACCAGCAGGATACAATATCCTGGAATGGCACTTATCATCAACTGTTGACTGATTTAGGATTAGTTTGTACTTCAAAACTTAAAGGCTCAAACTGGTCACTAATTTAGCATTAGTAAAGTTTTCATCAATAAAGCCATTACAATATTAAAAAAAAAAAAACAATAGCAACAGTCACCTTGACAAGGAGCCGATTCCGCCCTGTAGGTTCTTGGACAATAACACTCATTGACTTCCGGATGCGATCAAACTCCAAGGTGGCAACCCTTTTGGATCTTTTGGTCCACCAGTCACAGCAGCCTATACCAGGCAATAATTCATTAATCAAACGGGTGCAAAGTAACCACATGAATATGGCATAACTAGAGATGGAGAAGGTTTCAACTCACCTAGTTTAACTGTGTTGTTATCAATCAGATAGTTTGCAGCAAGATGCATGTCACGGACCTTGTTCCTCATCTTGGTATCTAGAATCCCCATCTTCTCAACCAAAACCTTCAAAGCTGCTTCTGTGGGCAAACCAGTAGCTCGAAAAAGCCGACCATCATGGAAAATGCCAGCATCATTGCAAACTGCACATACTTCAGCCAAGGCTTGCAGGTTAGCATCCATGTTATAGCAAGTCCAATCAACAATTCCACCATCCTTTGGATCATAAGTTGTTCCTTCAACATGGAAAACTCGAGAAGAAGTGGTTTTCCCACCCAGAGTAAAGAATTCTGCCACAGACATCTGATTTGTGGTCAGGGTCCCAGTTTTATCTGAACAAATCACGGTGGTGCATCCTAATGTTTCAACACTAGGAAGCCTCCGTACTATTGCATTTTTTTGGGCCATTTTCCTTGTACCAAGAGCTAAACAAGTTGTGATCACAGCAGGAAGGCCTTCTGGAATTGCAGCAACTGCAAGGGCAACAGCTATCTTCAAATAGTAGGTACATTTCTCAAAAGAGAATCGAACATTTGTAGGCCATCCGTCCACAACATCCCAGGAGAGGAAGTTCTTATAATTAATAAGCCACACAATGAGACAAACAAGCCCAATGGCAGTTGTAAGCCTGTTTCCAAATTCATCCAGCTTCTTCTTCAAGGGAGTATCATCCTCTTCTAGAGATGCCTCATGTATCTGTCTCTGTATCTTCCCTATCTCGGTAGTCATCCCAGTACTAACAACAATACACACACAGCTACCATTCACGACTGTTGTGCCTGCAAAAACCATATTTTCTTTTGCCTGCAACTCACAGTCATCCATGAATACAGGATTGGTAGCTTTCAGAACAGGCATTGCTTCTCCAGTCAATGAGCTCTGCTCAACTCTCAGGGTTGAGGTTTTCAAAGTGGCTACTCTCATGTCAGCAGGAACTTTGTCCCCAACATGCAATTCCACAATGTCTCCCGGGACAAGCTCTCGTGCGGGAAAATCAGGCACAGAGTCCCCTTCCCTCAAAACCTTTGCAGATTCAGATTGCATCTCCTTAAGGGCTTCAAGTGCTTTCTCAGCATTAGTCTCTTGCCATACTCCCACAATTGCATTAAGGACTAAGATCAATACTATCACTAACGGTTCAACATAGGCCTCAAACCCCGAGTCACCGGATCCACTTCCATGCATGTAAGCTAAAATGAATGATATAAAGGCTGCAATTAAGAGTATCTTTACCAGCATGTCATCAAATTGTTCCAACACAAGCAGCCATAAGGGCTTCCCCTTCTGTTTGGCAAGCTCGTTCAGACCATACCTCTCACGCCGTCTTTCAACCTCATAAGTGCTTAGACCCTTATCCAATTTGACACCGTACTCTTTCAAACACTGCTCCACAGAGCATGACCAAGCAGGGAACGGTTTCTCCTCCATGAATCTTCACTTTGCAGCCCAAAATACTCGTCGAACTCTTTTTCAGTTTTTTCTTAAACCCATATCAGTTTCCTGCAAAACAATTCAAACACAATAAGAAAACTTCCACAAAGGATGGACCTTGCAAGCTAAGTTCCTATAATCTAATTAACTAAAGAAAAAGAATATTACAAATTTATCTAACTATAATGTCATAATTAGACAAAAATGTCACTATCAAACTTCCAGAGCCAACAAAATCAGTTGCAAAGTCAGCAAAGAGACCCAACGAAACAAGTTCCATCACTGATATGAAATAAGTTCCAAAGCATAACAAAGAACGAAAAATTATTGTCCTTAACAACTATAAAGTTACAAACTTTGGACCGTACTTCTACTTTAATTATGAAACCAACAGCCCACCTAACACCATACTAACACAAAACAAAGAAATTAAGCAAACGCAAAAGAAGGAAGATGAACAACAGAAACTGACTTCAAACTCAGATGACATGCTGAAACTAGCAAACAACGCCGCACAGAAACACTGCTAATGCTAAGTGCAAACCTCGGGTGGAATTAACCGTGTCAAAACCAGAAACAAAAAAAAAATAAAAAATAAAAATGATGTAAACTGAAAATCTCACCTATAAACCAAGACAACCATTAAACCAGAATTCTACACCACACCCAATTCCAGTTATACAAGTTTTTCAGTCCCTAAAAACTATTTAGAAAAAGTCAAGAACCTTTGACGAAGAAGGAGAAACATGGCTTGGAGACAAAGCAAAGACTAAAGAAAATTCCTGTGTTCTGAAAAAAAATGAAAACTGAAAAACAAGGGAGGAGGGAAAGAAAAGAAAAAGAAATTGTGCGCTGGGTATGGACTAGTCAGAGTTTTGATGTTCCATGTGTTCCTCCCTTTTGCGTTTGGTGGTCCTAGTCGGTCAGTGGATTCGCTTTGAAATTCCCCTTCCCAGTAAGTTTTCGAAAAAACTCTAGGTTGCCCTTCTACTAACTTTTTCCTTAAATAAATAAGCTTTTTAAAGTAATTTTTATATTATTTAAGTCCCTTAAACACCATAATTGTTGCACTTAAAGTTGACGTAATTTCCCTTAGTTTTTGAATTTTCAATAATTAAAATCACAAGTTTTCTTAGTTGTACCTTTAAAATACATAGCGTAATTATTGTAAAATCTTTATATTAATTAATATTGAAAAAAATAATAATTGATATTCATTTTATTAATTACTTACCTAAAATGATTCCCATAATATTAATGATAAAATTAATATTAATTTTTATATTTTTAATTTTAATTAATATTAAAAAAATATTGTAATTATACACTAATATGTACCTTAAAATAATTTATACCTTAAAGTTAAAAAGGAATTCCAAATATAAATGGCTAATTTGAGATTAAAGTAAGTAAAGGGCTTGATCAAAACAAATTAGTTAGTTAAGGAGTCAGTATTAGGTTAGTCATTCCCTAAAATAAAATAAAATAGTTTTTTTTTTTTTATGTTGGTTACCCAATGAGAAATAATTCTCTTATATCTCTTATCATACGTTATACGACTCGAATTTAAAATTTTTTATTTTTAATAAAAAAATTATCATTAAATTATTTGAATCATTAATTAATAAAATAAAATTTTAGAAAAATGATTATTAAACGTAAATGACCTTTTAAGTGGTTTCTTGCGTTAGGTGTTGTTGACCGTACGCTCACCGGACAAAACGTTAACTGCCGCATCGTTTTCGTTGGCCAACCAGCTCTGCTACCGTTTAACCAAACCCCCAACAAAAAAAATTTATTACTAATAAATACTACCCCAATTCATTTTGCTTGACACCAAAATTAGATGTTGTAATTTTATTCGTTAATTTAAAATTTTAATATAATATTAAGTTTTATTTTTAAAATTTTCTCTAATTAAAAATTACTTTAATTAAAAAACATTTTAATTTTTTTGATTATATTAGTTAATAAGAATAAATGTGAATGTTTAATTGATAATAAATATAATTTTATGAATTTTTATAATTTTTTTATAATTAATACTAAATAAAAGTATGATAAATAAGATGGACTATTATTGATAATTGAGTTTGGTATCAATTATTAAGTAGGGGGCTCTAGACCCTATCGCCTATTATCAGGCCCCAATCAAAATTGAACAAAATTTACTAATAACAACAAAACTCTAACAATAATTTGACCAGATAAAACTCTTGATGAGAAAAAACTTTTTTTCCAAGCCAAAGCCAGAGTGCCAAACCGACCTAATCAAACTATTACAACAAATTACGAGGTTTTTGTCTCTCTTCTTTTCTTTTTTTTTCTTTTTTCTTACAATAATATATAATTATTTTAAATTAATTATTATTTTTTATTTTTAAAGTAAATAATTTTTTATTTTAATCCTATAATTATTTATTAACTTTAGTAAATTATTTAATCACAAAAAGTCTATTTTTATTACTTATTTATTTTAAGGATGTTATAAATAAAGAAGGATCATTTTACATAC